CAAAATTATGTATTACTGAAGACTAGTGAGGTGTCTCCTGCAGAAAATTGTTTTGTTTTGTTTTGTTTTTCTCAGTCATGAACCTTGAATTCAGGGCCTAAGCACTGACCCTTAACTCTTGGGCTCATGGATAGCACTTCACCACGTGGAGCCAAGGAACCTCTTGCAACAGAGTGTCATGGTCTAGTGTTCTATAGCAGAGGTCTGTCATCCTGCCTTCTCAGGAAGCTGAGATCTGAGGATCTGGGTTCCAAACTATCTCAGACACAAAGTGTCCCATGAGACTATTATCTCCAATTCACCACTAAGAAACATGAAGTGATAGCTGGGTGCTTGTGGCTCATGCTGATCATCCTAGCTACTCAGGAGGATGAGATCTGAGGATCATGGCTCAAAGCTAGCCTGGGAAAGAAAGTCCTTGAGACACTTAGCTCCAATGAACCGCAAGAAAACCAGAAGTGGCTCTGTGGCTCAAGTGGTAGAACAACAAGATTTGAGCTGAAGAGCTCAGAGACAGCCCGAGGCCCAGTTTTCTACTCCTACAACCGGCAATAATAAAAAAAAAATAGATACACACTAACAAACTGAAGTAGAGGGCTGGGAATGTGCCTTAGGGGTATAGTGCTTTGCATATATGAAACCCTGGCCTTGATTTCTCAGGACCACATCACTAGGGAAAAGCCTGAAGTGCCTCTGTGGTTCAAGTAGGAAAGGGCAATCCTTGTAGAAGAGAAACTAGGTACAGTGCTCATGTCCTGAGTTCAAGCTCCAGGACTATAATATGCATACACAGAGAGAGAGAGAGAGAGAGAGAGAGAGAGAGAGAGAGAGAGAGAGAGAGAGAGAGAGAGAGAGAGAGAGAGAGAGAGAGAGAGAGAGAGAGAGAGAGAGAGAGAGAGAGAGAGAGAGAGAGAGAGAGAAAGCAGAAGTGAAGCTGTGACACAAAATGGTAAAGCACTAGACTTCTGTTCTGAGCTCATTGCCAGCACCCAGGCCCTGTGTTCAACCCTAAAACCTAGTCACCCAGGGCCAAACTAGGAGAGGTCAAAGGTTTCAAAATCTGATGAGCTTTACCAGCCCTAGATGACTGGAAGCTTTGTGATATCCAACATGTGCTTGGATTTCCAAAGCTTCCAGAAAACTAGAAAAGGCATCATCGGCCCATCATTGCCCTCAATGGAATATTTCATTAGGTTCAGTGCCCTAGTTGTCTGCCAGAAGGACTCCTGAATTATATTGAGCACTGTATCTGAGCCCTGGAATATAGTCTCACAAAGGCAAGATGAGTGCACAGAATTTTGCCTGCCATGGGAGTTGGTACAAATGAAGGCTTCCTGTCAAAAAAGAGCACTGGGAAGAGAGATAGCTTGTTGTACAAAGAGGACTTTTTCTCCTGACCTTCAGAGCTCGCCCACACTCCTCCTCACTAATTGGCCCAGATGGAGTTGTTTGATACACAGCTCTACAGGAGTGAGGCCTTCTGTGTGCCTGTCCAGACAATGAAAAAGACTTCTTCCAGCTGGCCTGGGATGCAGAGAAACCCTCAGGCTACAATAGGAGCAGTGAGGGGAGCCCTGGAATATGTAATGTCATAAAAGCAATCTCTGTGTTATGAACTCATTGTATTGAATACAAATTTCCTATCTTGGTGCCATTTATCATAGCTACACGGGAGCTTCACTTATAGGAATGTATCTATACATACACAAAGACATGGAGGTGCAGGTTCTTTTTGAGGGGGCAGGTCCAAGGCCAAGGTTTGAACTATGAGCCTAGGCCTTGTACCTGAGCTCCTTTTGCTCAAGGGTAGTGCATTAAGTTGGAGGCACAACCCCACTTCTAAGTTTTTCTGTGATCTCTATGAAATAATAGTGCCATGGACTTTCCCATGCTGGCTGGATTCAAACTCAGATTCTCTACATCTTAGCCTCCTGAGGAGCACGGATTACAGTCAGCAGACACTGGCACCTTCTTTCTTTTCTCCTTCGTTTTGTAATCTGGACAATCTGACTTCTTAATAGGGTCATTCCAATGGTTTAGACTTATAAGTCAACTACCCATTGTTCTTTATAGCTACATTCTCTGAGAAGGATTTTCTTTACTCATCATCCCCTCTGGTCATAGGTTTGAAACCAAAAGTGAGAATTGAGTGTCACAAGATTTATGAGCATGTCCACAAGACATGCCAGTTCTGTCACTTAGCATTGAGATGCAGTTAATTTACTGTCTCAGGGTATGAGGACCGAAAGCTAGAACGATGCTCATACTGTCTGCATTGCTCCTTTTGCCTAGAAAGTGATCTAATAATTATGTGTTTTGTGTCTCCAACCTTAAGTATCTAGAACACACTAGAAGCATCTTCCTGTTTCCATTTTTCTCTAATACCTCTCGAGATTTAGATGAAAGATTTGTGTGGAGTGGCTCCTAGGTGAATCCCTGAGGAAAACCACTTGAAGCCTCCTCAGGAGATCATGATTGAAAGCCAGCCCTAGCAGGAAAGTCTGTGGGACTCTTGTCTCCAATAAACCACCAGAAAACCAGAAGTGGAGCAGTGGCCTAGAGGGTAGAGCTTCAGCTTTGAAAGAGAAGGCCAAATAAGAGATACAGGCCAGACCAGGCAGGAAAGCCTGGGAGGCGCTTATGTTCAGTGAACGACCTGATGGCTGGCAGTGGAGTTGTGGCAGTGGTAGAGCCTCAGCCTTGAGCAAAACAGCTGAGGAAGGTATCACACACTGAGTTTAAGCCATGGGATGGCTACCAAAAAAATTTCAAAAAGGAAAGTCCAAGTTTATGTATTAATGCCCTACTAACAAGTGTATATTACCTCCCTGAGTGCAAACAGGCTGTATGCAATGCTTCTGCTTTTATTTACTGATTTATTTTTCAGATATGCTCATTGCGCATAATGCATCATTCTGTTCATTTCAGCCCCATCGTTTTTCTCTTCTCAGATTCCAGGCCTGTGTCCTTATATGATGCACACTAAAGCTCTCAGCAGCCTTTATTTACATTTTATTATGAGGCCAATGCAGGAACTGTCGCAAATCAGGCAGGGGAAGAATAGATCGGGGTTCATAGGAATAACCTGTGTTCCAAAAATACACCTGGCGATGTAAAATGCTAGCATACTTATGTAAAACTAACTTTAAGAAAAAAGATGAGGGGGCAGGGAATGTGGATTAGTGAGAGAGTGTTTGCCTAGCATGCAAAAAGTCCTGGGTTCGATTCCTCAGTAGCACATACACAGATAAAAGCCAGAATTGGTCCTGTGGCTCAAGTAGTAGAGTGTTAGAGACAGTGCTCAGGCCTTGACTTCAGCCCAAGAATTATCAAAGAGATAGCTAAGGTGGTAGGTAGGTAGGTTGGTAGGTAGGTGGGTAGGTAGGTAGGTAGGTAGGCAGATAGATAGATAGATACGCAGATAGATAGATAGATAGATAGATAGATAGATAGATAGATAGATAGATAGATAGATAGATAGATAGGTAGGTAGATAGATACATAGTTACATAGATACATAGATAGATTAGATAGATAGATAGATAGAGAGAGATAGATAGATAGATAGATAGATAGATAGATAGATAGATAGATAGATAGGTAGGTAGGTAGATTAGATAGATAGATAGATAGATAGATAGATAGATAGATAGATAGATAGATAGATAGATAGATAGATAGATAGATAGATAGATAGATAGATAGATAGATAGATAGATAGATAGATAGATAGATAGATAGATAGATAGATAGATAGACAGACAGAAAAATGGTACATGTATCTGGTCTTGGACATCAGCAGGAAAGAAGGGAACAATTCCCAGTAATGAGGCCTTCTGCAATGTGTCAGGCCACCAGCATCGCCTTCACACAACCACAGAGGAGGAAAACTGTCTTTTCCCCACTTTTCAGGTAACCAAAGGCCCCAGAGACAAGAGGGCAGAGCCAGGCTCTAATTCAGCTGCTTGGAGACAGAAGAGAAATAACCATGCCTCTCCTTGAACTGGGGATTTGCATTAATGATGTGGAGAATGAAGGAAGGAGAATGGACTGGCAAAGGTAAAAGAAGGGCCTTCATATCTGCCAGATGGAGTCAAAAAACTACTCCCTTATATCAGAGATCAGGGATTTTCTACTCTGATCTTCGCCTCTCCCCCACTAAATTGGCTCTCTATTGGTAACCTAATGATAGCCTGAGGCTCCCTTCACCTGAGGAAGGAAGCTTTATTAGTCATTGTTTGAAGAGGCTGAGAAAAGCATGACCCTGGTGTAACTCTAACAAATAATTCAGGTTTCCCTTCATTGCTGGCTGTGCCTGGAATGAATGAAGTGGTTTTGCAACTCACGTCCTTGTTGAGTGTGTACATTCTGCCTCCTAATCCTGCAGGCCTTGGTCTCCTTATCTAGCCTGGCTTTTGCAACTGTTTTCTGTCCTTCAAATTCAGTGTTACACTGGAGTTCATCCTGCTAACAGGGCTAGGGCTTGGATTCTGAGAACTTCATTTGAACCCAGGATGGGTTAATGATGTTTCTTTCCTTCTTCTATAGCTCAGGAACTCTAAGAACATTTAGAGTGCAAGTAAATATTTATTTATTCAGTGGAATATACATATATAGAGAGATGTATATGCATTTGTAGCAATTTACACACCTATCTATTTATATATTGGCCACTCCTGGGGCTAGAATTAAGGTCCTGGGAACTGCCTGGCGGTGAATTTGTTTGAGGCTGCTATGCTTACACTGACCCCTTGATGAATTGGGCATTCCAGTCCCTGAGTTCAAATCTCAGCAATGCTGAAGGCAATAGGTAGAGTAAGAAGCCAATGTTGACCTGTTTTCCTTTCTGTGGAAATATTGTGTCCTAGGTAAAAAGTGTAATATATATACAAATACATATATATGATATATATTATACATGTATATGAATATTATTTTTTCCATTTCTGGGGCTGGAATTCACGCCCTGGGAATTGATCCTGAATTTTTTTTTCTTCCAGGAGGTTAGCTTCCACTTCAACCAGAGCACAATGGAGTTATTCAGTCCCTGAGTTCAAATCCCAGGTATGGCTGATAAAATGGCCCAAATTCCTAACCAGGACTTTCACATTTTTGGGGGGCAGGCACAGGGCTTGAACTCAGGTCGTCATAACTCTGCCTCAGCCTTGATTACCCTAGTCTGGGGCGCAGGTTTTACACCCACAGATGATCCGGGGTTCCTAGGCCCTGAGTTCAACTCCCAGCTCTGGCCAAAAAACAAACAAACAAACAAAAAAAACAACCAAGACAGAGGAGGAAAAACTAAACCAGGAAGTTTTACACAACAGTTTTACCTTTGTTACCTTTGTACTGTTACCATCCTGGGCCTCAATGACTCGGCTTGAAAATTGTATGTGACCTTGCAGAGCAGAAGGATGGTGGGCTGTCAGTGAAGCTTGAGCCCAACCCAGAAACCTAGGCCCTGAGTTCGAACCTGGGACTGCCACCTACTCATTCCTATCTATAGGAACAATATATAAATTTATTTATAGATGCATATACATATGTAAATACACATATACACGCACTGCAATCTACACATCTATCTGTTTATATATTGGCCAATCCTAGGGCTTGATCTCAGGTCCTCAAATTTTCCCGACAACTCAACTGGCATCAGACTGGTGTACTAACATTAACCCATTCATGAAGTGGGCCTTCTAGGCCCAGAGTTCAAATCACAAAACTGCCAAAAACTTAATCCTGGTGGAAGAAGCCAATTGTCCCGCTTGTTTTCCTTGTAAGTGAAAGTCCTGGGTTTCAGGAATGATGTATAATACATAGGCAAATCTATGTCCTATGTGATAGGATATAAAAAAAATTTATACATGTAATCATACTCTCTAAAATATATGATAATTAAATAAAACACAAAATAAAATGTATGCATTAAACATGTGCATATAAATAGAAATCATGTATTTAAAATGTATACGAATATTATTTTGTCGAGTGCTAGGGCTTGAATTCAGCTCCTGGGAACTGGCCTGTCTTTTTTGTTTTCCAGCACTGTGAGCTTTCCCTTCCCCCACAGTGCTGCAGATTTATCCCAACCCTGAGTTCAAATCCCAGGCCTGGCAGAAAAAAGGCATGAATTCCAAGCCAAGGAGCCTCATAATTTTTTAAATATTTTTAATGTATGTATGTATGTATGTGTGTATGTATGTATGTATATACATATATATATATATATATGTATATGTAGGTAAGTAGGGAGGTATTTTTACTTTGTCAAGCACAGGGCTTGAAGTCAGGGCGTGGCAATCTGCCTCAGCTTTGATCACTGTAGGCTGGGTTGCAACTACTGGACCCACAGCAGTACCTGGGTTTCTGGACCTCAAAGGGTGACAGGAAAAAATAAATAAAATGACACAGAAAAAAAACCCGGCAACTTGCTGATGGCTTCTGGTTTTACATTTGTTTTCTTTTCAAGGTGACCATCCTGGGTCTGAATGACACGGCTGAAAAATGTTGGTAACCTGATATTGCTGAAGGCTGGTGGGCTTCCAGGGAAGCCATAGGCCAACACAACAACATAGGCCCTGTGTTTGAAGCTGGGTCCTGACCCCTACCAATAGAGGGAGATCCTAATATTCTAGTTCATATTCATAGGAATACCGATGGAAGGTTATGAATGTCAAGGTTGACTTAGTTGTTCTTGAATGATACTAATGATAAAAGTAGAGAGTGATTTTAGGAGGCCAACGGATTTAATGAATATTTTTGACACATTGAAAGAATACTATTAATTACCGGGACACAATAGTTTCGGGGCAATGGTTGATTTAATTAATAATTCATTAAGGATGAAAACAACCATATTAATTACATGGACACATAATAAAAAATAATTGGTAGGAATGTAGCCAATATAACTGAATAATATATAGAAATCTCTGGCACTCTATAATGATCTATATGTATTTGTGTACTATCATCTACATGTCAGTCTGTTATTTTGTCTATCCTTTGGGCTGGATCTCAGGTGCAGGGAACTGCTTGTCAGCTCCATATGCCCCAGGCTGGCATACTGACACTCACCCATTCATGAATTGGGCCTTGTAGGCTGTGAGTTCCGATGCCACCACTTACAAAAATTGAATCGTGCAGTAAGAATTCCATGGTGACACATGGTTTCCTTTTCTGTGAAAGTCCTGGGTGTCAGGTGTGAAGTTTCATACATAGACAAATGTATAATCTATGTAATAAATATAGTAAAAATTCCATGTATTATAGCAGTCAATAAAATAAATGGTTAATGAATAAAACAAAAAATAAAATGAGTAACTACACTAAGCGCAATTTGCAGTCAACATATGGGGCTCCATCTCAGGGCTTGGGCACTGCCTGGCAGCTGAATTGGCTAGAGGCTGCTGCGATGGCATTCACTCATTCATAAACTGAGCCTTCTAGGCCCTGAGTTTAGATCCCAGCACTGCCAAAAATATAATCGTGGAGGGAGAACTCGAGCATGACTCATAAGTTTTCCTTTCTGTGAAAGTGCTCAGTGTCAGGTAGGATGTATAATTTGGGTGCAAATCTATATACTATGTAATAGGATGTAATGACGGTAAAAAATATCATAGGTGGAAGAATTGTCAATACAATAAATGATAAAGAGATTGAATTAGTAGTGAATTATTCTAGAATAAAAATTAGACACAGTAGGTATAGGATGTGCATTAAGTTTAATTAATATTTTATTAAGCATTAACAAAACAAATATTACATGGAGACATAATTAAATAACTAATAATTGGTAGCAGCACATGGTGCAGAATTTAATAATATATCAGCCTTAGTCTATGAAATATGAAATATGTATGGATATATGTACATATATGATAAAATAATAGGATATTGAGTAATTATTAATTAATGCTTTATTATTTGTTAACTGGGACACATCATTAAATGGAGATATAATTTAATACTTAATAATTGGTAGTAATATCTATAATGTAATAATATGCAGAAATCTCTTTTTGTGTATATACTATTTATATACAACAATCTCTATTTATACCTCGTTCACTCCTGGAGCTCAGTGGTTGAGTGCTCACTTAGTAAGCATGAAGCCCTGGGTTCGATTCCTCAGTGCCACATAAACAGAAAACCCAGGAGTTCTATTGCCTTTGAATCAATTGAGTGCTAGCTTTGAGCACAAACGCTTAGGGAGAGTGTCTAAGCTCTTACTCAAGCCCCAGGACTGATGAAAAAAAACAGTAGGATGTTCTAACTGCAATTATAGAAGGAGAGAACTAAAAATACCTCATAACTGAGCAAGCTAGGAGTCTGGTGCTGACAGCTGCCACCTAACATGACTTATCCACATGTAAACCTCTGTAACCCAGCTCCACGGGTTACCCATGTCTTCGTGGCATATGCCTATCATCCTAGCTGCTTGGAGGCTTTAAAACCCAGTCCTGACAGGAAGTCTGCGAGACACTGCAAAATGTGAGTCCAAGTGGTAGAGCTCTAGCCTTGAGCAAATGTTATTAGAACATTATCCCCATGCTTTGAGCTCAACCCCCAGGGGTAACCTCCATCCCCAAATAAAAACACCCCACTAAACCATTAGATATGAAATTGTGTGGTTTGTGAAATGTTCCTCAAAAAATGGTGATACTGATGAAAGCACTCTAACTCTAATGACAGCTTGTGGAATAGAGCTCTGTGCTGAGTCCTTCATAAGGTGCTCCGTTCTGAGTCCTGCACAGGGTGCTATGTGATGAGTCCTTCAGAGGATGCAGTGTGCTGAGTCCGACATTGGGTGCTGGGTGCTGAGTCTTTCATAAGATGCTGTGTGCAAAGAGTACCATGTGTTGTGTCCTTCCCCGGGTGCATTTTTACATCTTGTCCTTATAAGAGCTCCACAACTGCAATGATTATGCAGACAAGAATATTAGGGCTCAGATAGGTCCCCATGGCAGGGACGAAATTATGTATTACTGAAGACTATGAGTTATCTCCTGCAGACAATTGTTTCGTTCTGTTTTTTCTCCATCATGAACCTTGAACGTGGGGTTTAGGCGATGACCCTTACCTATTGGGCTCATGGCTAGCATTCCACAACGTGGAGCCATGGACCCCCTTGCAGCAAAGGTCGTGGCCAAGGGGTTGGTAGCTGAAGTCTATCATCCTGCCTTCTCAGGAAGCTGAGATCTGAGGATCTGGGTTCTAAACTATCCCAGACACGAAAGGTCCCATGAGACTATTATCTCCCATTCACCACTAATCACCTGAAGTGGAAGCTGCGTGCTTGTTGCTCATGCCTGTCATCCTAGCTACTCAGGAGGATGAGATCTGACGATCATCGTTCAAAGCTAGCGTGGGCAGGAAAGTCCTTGAGACACTTAGCTCCAATGGACCACCAGAAAACCTGAAGTGGCGCTGTTGCTCAAGTGGTAGAGCACAAGACTTGAGCTGAAAAGCTCAGAGACAACACCCAGGCCCAGACTTCAACTCTTACAACTGACAACAACAACAACAATAAAAAAGACAGAAATAAACTAACAAAACTGAAGTAGAGGGCTCGGAATGTGCCTTAGGGGTAGAGTGCTTTGCATATATGAAACCCTGGCCTTGATTTCTTAGGACCACATCACTAGAAAATGTCTGACGTGGCTCTGTGGCTCAACTGGGAGAGGGATATCCTTCTACAAGAGAAACTAGGTACAGTGCTCAGGCCCTGAGTCCAACCTCCAGGACTCATGTATGTGTGAGCATGAATACACACACACCAGCACACACGCACACACACACACACACACACACACACATTCACAGACCAGAAGTAATGTTGTTACACAAAATGGTAAAGCACTGGGCTTCTGCACTGAGCTCATGGTCAGCACCCAGGCCCTGTGTTCAACCCCAAAACCTAGCTACCCAGGGCTCAACTAGGAGAGATCAAAGGTTTCAAAACTTGTTGATCTTCACCAGCCCTAGATGACAGGAAGCTTTGTGATATCAGACATGAACTTGGATTTCTAAAGCTTCCAGAAAACTAGGAGAGGCTTCAT